ACGACCTTCAATCTTACGTTATTACTACGTATGCCCGGCTGGCAGCATTTGCCGCGCATGATTTTACATAAATTTCACGCGCTCGGACGGCGACGATGATCCCATCGAAATTTCTATTTAACGCGGTATTTTAATAAAGACCGTAAGACTGATATCGTCGAAGGAAAAAGAATCTCGATCATTAGGGGGTTGGCGTGCAATTTTCACGTGTGTTTTGACAACTACCCCGCCCACGCGTCTTCTCACGCACGCACGCACGGCAACTCGCTATTAAATGCATTAGCACGCTTTTAACGCCGGCCAGGATCGCGTTTATGGGGTTCTGCGCACGGTCACGGGGGTCTGCGCTCGCGTGCACGGTGGGTGTGTCTGCTTTCATTCTTCACGCATACCGGACACGTGGCCGGGACACGAGTTCCGCAGACGTCGAACGGTGCTGTCCTCCTTTCCGCTTCTCTTTTTGCATCCCCTGATTGGCACTTTAAAGCCCGACGACAAGCGTCGCGACGGAAACGAACGGGAAATATCCAGCGTGTCGAAATCGTAGTAGCTCGCGTGTTTCGTTGACGTTGTTCACCAACAGGAAGAATCGCGTTACCCTTCTTCCACCCTCGCCCACCTATATTACCTATTTTCTTATGCCCCAATGTTTTCCAGTCGCACATCACGGTCAATTAATAGGAGTCATTTATAAGGGCAAACCGGAGAATCTGGGAATCCGCAATCCAGCGGGGAGCAATAAATCTCAAGTCGCCGAGCGGGATGGAAACGGAACCCCTCTTGTAAGCTGGTTGTATTGTAGCTATTACCGAGCCATGCATCACTAGGTAACAACCGCACGGTTCACTATCATCCTCTCTCTTTCTGTCCCTCGCGATTCCGTCTCTGTCCGTTCTTCCTTTTACCATGTCGCCCCCTCCCCTTTCTTCCCTGTCGTACCGTTTCCCCGGAGGAGAGCAAAGGACGCGGCGCGCAGAAAAACGGGACCGTCTGGGAAGTTTCGCAGCTGATATCGTGCATGGACCACCCAGGTGTGCCCCGTAGTACCTTTCGTGGAAGCGAGCATTGGGGTGTTTCGACATTAAGAGAAATATTAAGCCACGCACGAACCGTGTTTGCGTGAGTAAAGTGGACCGACAAACTCGCTTGACGAGCGGTTCGCGACACCCAGAGATATTTCGTGTTTTCCACGCGTCACCAGCACCGTCTCCCCAACGACCAGAGTCCTTTTAATAACGTCCGAAGCAAAACGGTACGTTTGTTTCGCCGAGTCTCGACGTTTCTCGGAATTCACGCTCTAAAAATTCTGACACCGCGAATCAGGGTGACAACGACAACGACCGATAGTAAAAATAAAGGAAAGACTAACGCGGAGAATCTCGTGTACGCGAGACAGAAGGGCGCATGGAAAAATAAAAGAGGAAGAAAAAAATAGACAGGGGGGAGAGAAAGAAACGAGAGACCGGAAGGGAATTCACGTCCACCGGCATAGTCTCTCATCGGACGAGCGTCGGTTTGAAGAACAGAACAGGGTGGCTGCATGGGATGGTTGTCGAGGGGTGGCCTGGCGAGGGATGGTTGATGAGGGTGGTACCTGCCTTCTCCTCGCGCCCTCACCGGGCGCTATAGTAACAATACGGGGAAACATAGGGAAATCAATATGGCTTCCGTTGCCCTCTTCCCTCTTCTCGTCTCTCCCTGTCTTTCATCCTCTCGCTCTCCTGGTTCGCTCAGTCTTTGACTCTCTCTCTACTCTGCCTCCTCTTCTCCCGCTTCCTACTACGCTAGCTTCCTCTCCTTCTAACACACCATCGCTACCCTCCTTCTGTCTCTTTCTCGATCGCTCTACCCGCGCTCAGCGCGGACGGGTGAACCCATTATGAGGGGGTGTTACTCCGGGCCAATCCCCAACCATCCGGAGAGAGAAACTGGAGAGACGAGAGTCCAAGAAGGGCGCATGTGCGTTGCTAGGGCCACCGGATGGGTCGCGTAGTTAGGCACGCGTGAATCGGACACCCGGTATACGTGGTCAGACTAGTTTCCAAGAAAACACGCCATAACGTGCAAACAGGAAATACATCTACGTTTTGTACGAATTTTAAATAGGAAACGTCAGACACCCTACATTTATATGTACTAGCGATATCTTAATTTCTTCATATTGAACTTTTAGATCTATTCGATGATGAGTTAACAAAGTCGAATGATTGTTACACGATTTGCAAGAAACCAGAGTTTGTTTGCGGATGATGATAATTTTCGGATAATGTTTAATATATAACAATCTTTAGATAGAGGTTGTTAGCAATTAAAGTTACGATGCCCTAGCGGTGCAAGAGAGGAACACTCGTATAGGGTTTAGCTGTCGGTAAGACAGGAGAAATTGTTATCAGTATACGGAATTTTTGATAAAACACTGCAAAAACTAGCAAAAGTGTGGTCACAAGTTACTACTACAGTAACGGGCAGTGGCGGTGAGTTGCGCTGGAGTTTTTTTTTTTTTTATTTTTTGTTTTGTTATGTTTTGTAATCCGATATGGTTTCGTGGCATGGATATATCATCATCTATATTTCATTTCGCATCTCAGAAAGAGCTTTTCTTCTCATATGTCAGCTTCCATTTTTTCTTCCTTTAAAAACCCCCAACCCTGGGGGAGCAACATTTTTTGTTTTCTCGTGAGCTGTAACCACCTTAACAGTTCCGTTTTCTCCACCACTACCTTCCGTCCGTCACCTGCCAGGATTTGGTCATCTCAACACCGTCAGGAAAGGGTTTCACAAACTCAGCCAACCGAAGTATTTTCCCCTATTCTTCACACCTGTAACGGCAGACCATCAACAAACCTGCAGCGGATTTTCGTGGGACCTTCCGGAGCACTGCTTCCAGCTTCACAACGGAACAACACTATATTTTTATTTTTTTAATACCCCCCATTTACCCTTGGGTTCTTTCTCACCGTAACAACACGCGGTCATCTACGGGGGGGAATTCCGCTTAAACCCCGGCGCGCCGTCTCGGGAATTCTCTGATTCCATTTCTCACACCCCTTCAACCACAGGGGGTGTTTTCTTCCACAACGTAAACCTCGAATTTTCTTCTTCTTTATTCTTCTTCTTCTTTTCTTGTTCTTCCTTCCTCCAAAGTTTCTCCCCGTCCCCCTCCAGTCACAACGCCGCCACCATTCCTAGGGGAAATTCCGCCTTCAAGAACGAGCATCTCTGCCTACCCGTCGATCTTCCTGAGTAGCACCGGACCACGAGTAAAGATGCTAAGGATGAACCTTATATAGCAACTACTATTATTAGCAAGCACTTGCGAGAAAACCCTAGTGCGAAAGCAAGGCAGCGAATTCTACCTTAAATCTGCAACCCCTCTAGTAGTCGTTAGCAGAAACACGGATAAGTTACCAGCTTGTTGGTAAAACAGAATCTTCCTTACCAGCATACAAAGATAGCAAGTTGAATATATCAAAAGACAATTGCAACAATTCGGTACAAAATCGGGTAGATTACTTCATATACGTATTAATAACTGTTTAATAATCTGAATGATTATAAAAATGAAAAAGAAACAGATGTAATCAATAACTTTCGTACGCATCAACGGTAGTCGGTAAGAAAACTTCCTTCGATATTACCGGTATTATTCACTCCAGCAAATCGAAGTAAAGTTGGCGCGGAATAATAATATTTCTTATCTTGAAAGATTGCTCCCCATTTGCGCCCTCGGAATCGAAAATTGCTCCAGTCGCAAATATTATATTTAATGGGATATTCGGAAATAAAAAAGCAAAAATTATCTGCAAAATATATAGCTAATCGTCTTTTTACAAAAATATTATAGTTCCAAAAGGTTGCTCTCGATTTGTTTTATGAGATTCTAAGGTCAGTTTTATATAAGTTTTATAAGGTCAGATATCTCAATAAGGACTTATTACTAAGAAGCAATTGAAAATAAATGTTTGTGATGAAAATAAATAAATAAAATCAACTGTTTGTGCTAGAAATTATTAAGAAACATTATATGTAAGTACAAATGACAGATGTCGCTGACATTTACTTTCACGCGGTAGATATAACTGACGGTCGTTTATGACGTCATAACTTACCGGCAGATACGCAACAACATTTATTTTCAATTGCTTCTTGTTAATAAGTTGTTATTGAGATATCTGACCATTGAATTTTATATAACAAATCAAGATCAACTGTTTGGTACCATAATATTTTTGTAAAAAGAGCATTTGCTATCGATTTTGCAGATAACAAATTTCTACCTTTTTATTTCCGAGTATCTCATTAAATATAATATCTGCGACTGGAGCAATTTTAGATTCCGAGGGAGCGAATGGGGGCAATTTTCCAAGATAAGAAATATTATTATTCTGCGCCAACTTTACTTCGATCCCTAGCAAGTGAATTAAACTAGCGTTGGTAAGGACTGAAACTGCACGACTTTATCGACGATAGGTCTGACGACAGGTAGACTTTCGTCGATAAAATAGGACAGCAACTTTATCGACTCATTTTTTGCGGTATTTACAAATCCCCTTATTATCACTCTCCTTTCTGCAAAAGTCTTGTATTGAAATATAATAATTGAACAATCTGTGAACTATAATTCAAACACATACAGTATACAGTATAAGAGCACTGTTATACATCAGACTGGATTAATAATCGTAATATACTTTCTATTTCTACCGCGCTATTATCTTTGATCCAGAATACGTTTATAATTCCAATCGAAAATTGAAAAGGTCGTGTTTACTTTCGCACACAATTACACATAAGCGCGTAAGTACGCAAACACCATACGAATACGTTATATCGTAGAGGGATAAGATGAACACCCTAAACATTAATTTAGTCGTCCATTGACGTCGTAACGGTCTTCAGCTAACGAACGGTTGCCTGAATACAAGTGAAATCAATAGATTTCAAAGCTGGAAACCCAGAAATTTGCATGTGAAGAACGGCATAAAAAGAAAGGTGGAAAAATGGCATTATCGATAGCTCTGCCTCTTTCTGGTTTAGAAGCGGAACACTTTTACGCGATAGGAAGCAGAATTTTGTACGAGCAAGGTCTGAGAACTTTGGCCGGTTGTGGACCGATTTCACCGAGCACGGCAAGCGAATCAAGTGGAGTCGGTAGCTTTGTGCCTTCCATCGAATCAACCACACCGGAACAAACGCCAGCTTCTTCTAGACCAGAGACACCCGCTGAAGATGCTCCCAGAAAACAGCCGAAGGTAGGGAACGATTCGAATATCAATTGCGAATAAATTTTCTTATTTGCATTTGCAATAGATATTCTTATTTCAATTATCAACTAGAAAAATAACCGGATAACTTTGCTCGTAGCCGAGCACACAGCTCCGTGTTTACTACAGACAACGGGACATATTAAACTTAGGAGCGAATATCAGAGAACCGTGCTGGCAAATGAGAGTCCCGACGATGCCACGTTACGATTTCAAAAGCTTCATGGAAAACCGATCGATCTATTATCGTTTAGGCGAATACGGTTTAATCGAGGAGTATCCAACGGTAAGAAACCTTTCATCATAAATGAGTTATTTAATACTAGAAGACAATTTATCAGATTCATTGTACGGAAAATGATGATCAATTAAACGATACATTGATTAGTAGATTAATTACACGGTACGGAATCCTTACAATTACTTGTACGCATAAATATAATTCTCGGTGTGAAAAATTATCCTAAGTAATTCCCCCTAAGTTCAAGTTCCTTTCCGTCTGTGTTTCTGCGTCACGGATTTCTAGCTTCTTTGTGCTCCTCGAGTTCGCCATAGCTTGAAACTGGTACAGTACCGGTAAACATACGATCAAACCGACGGTCCAATACTTGAAGGGCCAAGATCTCCTCCTCCAGTATTTGCCGTAAGGAAATTCCGCGAATCGCATCCCCACGAAGGAGACTTTGTTCGTCAAGGATGGCGATGAGAATTGATCCAACAGCGATAACATCCTAATTTCTTTGATACTCTAAACAATTTTCAGTCGATCAAAAAGGGGAGATAAGAATTGAAAATTTGCACGTACTTTGGAAAATTTGCTTTTTAGATCCCCCACACGAACGTCTTTGATTTTATCGTGAACTTGGCGATAACGAGCGGTCAGAAAGTTCTGCATTGCAAATTTCTATCTTCTGTTGGGACGAAATTCAGTGACTCGAGTCGAGCGACGGGAGACGGGGATAAAAGAACCAACAGACTCGATCAGTCCTTCTTCCTCGGTGGTTAAGACTAGACCATTTTGACAGTATCGTGGACAAAATAGACTCGAAACAAGTTCACTTCGAACCTCGAATTACACGCGAGATCGCAGAAGGCGTTAGATCGTTGATATTTCACCTTCGATTTTTTTTTCGACAGAGAAACTGCAAAGAATGCGGCTTCAGCGAACCGTCGCCGTATCTGTTTTGAACCATCGTCAAGGCGGATACCATCGACGCGGAGGACGACGTTGCGGACATTAAGCTGTGATAAATAAGAGACAAGCGGCAGCCGGTTCTTTATTGGACGAAAATCGAGAAGGATCGACGACGAGAGAAACGGTGAACGCGCGAAAATTTGACTTGGTGCTAACTAAACGAACAGATAGAGAAACAATGTATCCGCGTGTTCGATGAGCGACACAATTTTTGTGTATGGATCCTGTTTTTTTTTTTTCACCTTTTGTCAGCTGCTATCGCGCTGACTGGGTGATTGATTGTCAGATATAATCGTTGGGGTTTTGTTGAAAAATTTTTATGATTTTTGTTTCTTCATGATGCACTGTTTCTATTTTATTTCTTTTTTTTTTGCTCGTGTCAGACGATTGCACCAGTTTTCATACCCGTGTCATTATATCTGGTAATATTGAACCGTCGTCGATTATTCGAATGGCCGGTTACGGGCTGCGGTGTCAATTCTTTAGCGAACCTTTTTTTATGCGCGCGTTAAGGAGTTACCAGGCTTTTTACTATGCAAACTATGCATACAGCGAGTGATCAAGTCGTTGGAAACCGCGGGAATGGAATAAACGTTTTTCGTGTGTCCATTACTGAGAAGGGAACGTAATCCTTCTTTTTTTTTTTTTTACAAAACGTAAAGGAATATTTTACAATACCTGTACGTTGCAAAGAACTGATTTTGCGGTAACAGCACGATCTAAGTAATCTGAAGTGACACAGATTTAGAGAAGAGCTGCGAAACATTAAAAGACGACCAAACCGCTCGACAACCAGGTTTGTTTTTACGACTGCCTCTAGTTTAAACATTTAATCTATGCGAAAATAATATCGAATAGTTTCTCGGTCAATAATATTCCCATTGACCGGTGTGTTAAATTACGATCGGGCGTCTCTTTGTACGCAAACGATGTAGCAAATCTATTATAATATCACGAACAATCGAACAGTGCGCTATAATTACAATTGGCTTATACATTTTCACGATAAATGTAATGCGCGCTCAATCGAGTATTGTAACCGTACCAAAGCCGTTTCGCTAGAGTCTTTACAGACCATTGTTTACAAGCGGGTAATAAACAATATTTTACAACGATCCTCGATTATGCTCAATTATTTCATTAATATCCATTGAAAGGATTTTCATTTTCATTCATCATCTTAATAACCTACCACCCCACTACGCGCCTTCTTCCCCGAGAGAATTTGAAAACGCGTTTCTATGGGGTAACCGCACGCGCGATCCCGTGGATCCTACGAAAATAGAGTCACGACCGGCCCATTAACTATTTAACCGCGTTCGTAGGCCGCGAGAGATGCTCTCAATCCTAACGCAAAAGTGTACGTGCGAGCGTGTGAAGGGATGCGCGACGCGGGCGTGCGAAGAGCGTGCAAAGGGATGCACGCGTGCAAGCGAGTGCGTGCGCGAGCTGGTACGTGGATGCGTGGGTGCGTGCAATGCGCGAGAGATGTGCACGACGACTATTCAGATATTGTTGTTATTGTTGAGGGAACAATCGCCCGTCAATAGGCTGCCCCGGCACAATGTATCTATTCAGGTGCGGTCAGGGGTGCTCAATCGATCGGCCCTCCTCGCGACCGATTCACAAAAAATCCTCGCGAAAGAACACTGTCTAATCCGTTCTTTAACTTCCCGCTGCGTTCACCGTCTTACAGTTTCGTTAATGTACCCGCGACACTTTAGCAACGCCAGAGATTCGGTATAGCTAAAAGGTAAATAGATTAAACGAAACAATCTCGGAATATTAAGCAGCGGAGTCCGCGTAATTATCAGTATCGCATTTAAATAGCCACACACCGTTTTGGCATTAACTGGCATTGATTAGATACATTGTAGCGGTCGGCTAGAAACACGGCTGGTTGCGGGCATAAATCGGCTATCGCTTACGATTATTATTATCCGGCCTGTGCTGGTATTTAAACCGATAAACGGCTCGCGGAATCGCGATGGCGCGGCGTCATTGTGCGTTAGAGGAGCATTGAAAAGCCCCGGGACGAAACGCGAACGAGCGGGGAGACAGGATGGAACGGGACGGTCACGGGAACGGGATGGGACGAAACGGGACCAAGCTGAATCGCGATGGAAAAAGAGGGCGCGCGTGAGAGCCACTGCATCGCGAGTGTACCAGCCTTCCCTGCCCATAGCGATGATTACGTATGCGGGAATCATTGTCGAGTAACGCGCGATGCACATGCAAAGGCCAAAAATCGTCGAAATCAGTCGAGTTCAACATCAGCATTGTACCTGGCCTTTGTCTCTGCCTCATTGTTGTCGGTACTCGGTGTACAACGTACACGTACGTACGGAGAGGCTCGTTGGGATAGTTGGAGCTGGATGGTCCACCGGCAACCACCACACCTACAGGACCTTCGGTGTTCGCTATTTATGCTAGCGAGATCCCGAAAATCGGAGCATTGTTGCCGGTCCGTTTCGACATTGACTAGAAAATCGATTCGAATCCGATGGACGCGACCGGTAAACTAGCATTCAACCTTTCGCAAATGTCTGCCCGTTTCGATTGAATATTGCATTTTCGATAAATATTCGAACTTCCCAAATTTTCTCTCCCGTGTCTCGGTTGCTTCGGGTTCGCGACGATTTTTCGATCGTTGCTAATCGAACTTAAAGGGGAAGCATGATCTCGGAAGGATCTATGCCACAAGGTTGCGAGCACCGGATGGCTTGTAAAAAATGATGAAAATTCTTAGCTCCTCTCTAAAGGATCCAATCTTCCTGCAACAAGATCGTAAACCCCGCGGAGCTTCCCAAAGTAACGGTTCGATAGATAAAAATTACTATCAGAATGAAAGGAAACGCTGAAGCGATCCTCTTTTTATCTAACCGTCGCGTGGGCCGGTGTGAAAATTTTCGATAACGCGAGCGCGAAAATGTTAACGAGCCGAGATAATGGTATTTCAAAGGGGGCGACAATGCGCGGGCGGAAGCTTGTAACGAGGATGAACGGGTGTATGGTTTTTCGCGCGTACGGAAGGTATAGGCTCGACAGGATAAGATTTCCGCGGCGATATCGGAAGGAAAGAGGCGCGGGTGGCGGCGGGGAGGAAGATAGCGGATGAAGAGAGGGTGAGGAAGAGCAGGAGCAGCAGAAGCGGTGGGGGTGTAGAAGGAGGCGAAGAGGGGTTAGGAGGAGAAGAGGGCATAGAGCAGCTGAATAGGAAGCGACACAATGGACCTGGGTGGCTGTGGAGGCGTGTTATCAAATGGGTTCCTCATTCACATACTGCGGCCTGAGCTACCTGTGTCTGTCTGTACCGGTGTCTGTCTGTTATACTTATTCATACCGCCCATTGTGTCCTCCAGTGTTGAGTCGAGTTCAGTTCAGTTGAGAACGCGATGGAACGTGCCACAATGCACGAATATGGGCTGCGCTGCTCTGCCTCCCCCTCCATCAAACCTAACTCTTTCTCTTTCTCACCCTACCCCCTTTGCCATTTGCCACCCACCACCAGCCGGGCCGGGCTAGATTCGCTCGGGCGACTGAAAAGAAAATTGTGTTGGGAAATTGTATCCGCGAGAAACCCGGCCGATAATGCGGAATTCTTGGCAGAACTGCCGTGTGCCAGAGACTTTGTTCCTGCTACGACAAACCGGGGCCACCTACACCCCCGCTCATAAGTATCCGGACACCATCTAAAACGGAATACTCATTTTCAAATTGGATTGAGATTTTTTGAGAAGCTACAAAAATTAATATACAATTGTACGGAATAAAATTACAATTTGTCGGAGTCGCGACAAAAATACTGGAGGGCACTTTTTGTAATTGTTTCTTTTGGGCCTGTAATGAAAATTAAAACATGTATGCTGAAAATTTCATGGAAATCGATCAACGCGTCTTACAAGCAATTAAAATTAGCGAAAATCGAGATTATTCACGATTTTCGCTGTTAATTGCTTATAACTTTTGGACACGTTGACCGATTTCGATGAAATTTTCAGCATCCATATAGCTTAATAATATCTACAACATGTATGTTTTAATTTTTAAAATTGAAATCTACAAAATGTATATTTTTAATTTTCATTACAGAGCCAAAAGAACCAACTATAAAAAGTGCTCTTCAGTATTTTTGTTGCGACTGCGACAAATTATAATTTTATTTCAAATAATTGTATATCAATTTTTGTAGCTCCTCAAAAAATCACAAGTCATTTGGTCCAATTTTAAAAAGAGTATTCTATTTTAGAGGGTGTTCGGATACTAATGAGCTTTTTTTTTTAAATTATTTGATAAATTTTCGAACGTCTCATGTTCATTAACGTATGCAATGAAACCCATTTTCCTTGGAACAGTTTCTACTCGTCGATTTAACGTTTCCCTTCGAAAGGAGCAATTGTGGAACATTGTTGGAAATAAAGAAAAGGAATACGCTCCCGACTACGCTGCTAAAACCTTAAAACCAGCGTCTCGCGAACTACTTTTTCCCTCGAAAGGGACCAAGAAGTAACGCAAAACACATTTCTTGCGAGTTACTCCCGTCGACCGAATACTTGATTCAAAAGAGAACAGTCGCGCAGCGAAGAAAGATGAAAATAAAAAAGGTCTTCGAATTCCGACGACATTGGTTTGCATTTCGCTTCGTTTTTCGATTATACAGTCGAACGATTCCTCGCAAAAGAATCACAGAATCCACGGGTAAACGATGGACCATCGATCGGAGCGTCGACTTCGCGTTCCGTCGATTTCTCAGCGAACAAAGAACGAGGAAGAAAGAGAGTGGCGGAGAAAGTGTCAGAGGGCGCGTCAAAGTCAGACGTCAATTGTTCGCGAAGGAAAGCATCGATGCCCGATTAAGTCCGCAAGATCACCCACCCTTTCCCTTCGGTTTCGGATCCACCGCCCTTCCTTCGGTACTCCCCCTTTTATCCTTCCCTAACCGCGTTTCTCCTTTCATTCGAGCCACCGCGTAACGAAGCTGATTATTGAACTT